CTTTGTTGATAAAATATAAATAGATAGCAAGTTGTTTCAAAAATTCTAATTTTAATTAGATCAAGTTTCCAAGAAATAGAGAGTGGATTTTAAACATTCTTCATGGACTTTTGCCTTATTTTTTGCAATTCTCACCTAACAAGGCTTCGCTCAAGTAATTACTTTAGGTACAATTTGAATTATTAAGTAGAGTAACCACTAAGAATCTCAATATCTTCTTTGATGTTTTCATGTTTGGATATTCCTCACTATCGTGGGCTTCTGTAAAACTCTCATATGCTTGTATAAAGGAACATAGTAGTTGTGTCTAATTGGAATAGGTATAATGTCTGAGTAAGGAATTTCCCTCTATCATAACTCAGATTACTTTCTTCTTCCTTTATTTCCATTAAAAAAGAATTATTTTAAAAGTTATTATTTGTGAGATTGAGGGGGGTTTTCGACTACTATTTAAAAGATACATTCTAATTTATTTAATTGACTTCTTTCTGAAATATTTGTTTCCGTATCTGCATAACTACCACCTCAAATTTAATTGCTTAAAACAATCATCTTATTAGCTTAATGTTCTGCAATCTAGGCTGAGTTCAGCTGGGTAGTTCTTGGTCGGATCTTGGTGATGATTACTTGCGTGGCTGCATTCAGTTGGCAGGTGGACTGAGGACGGGACTCATTTGGGATGCAGGAATGACTGAGCCTCTCCTTCTCCGTGTGGTTGCTCCACGTGGTTTCTCCAGCAGGATAGCTGGACTTCTTACTCCCAAGAATGCAAAAGCAGAAGCTGTAAGGCTTTCTTAAAGTTTATGGCTAGTACTGGCATAGTGTTATCTCCGTCATATCCTGTTGGTTAAAGCTAATCGTAACACCAGCCCACATTTAGGGGGAGGGGACTATACAAGGATTTGAATACTGCCAGGCCTGATTCATTGGGACCACTAGTTTAACAGACTACCACCATACCCTTAAACAGTTATTTGAATCAGAGTTTAGAAGCAGCCAACTCTTCACCTTTCTTTGTCTGAAAATGTCTTTAAGTTGCCCTCTTTGATGAATGAAAGCATAGCTAAAAGTAGAACTTTGGGTCCATAATTATTTACTCTTCACATTTTGAAGATATTATTCCATTGTCTTCTGGATTCTATTGTTGTGTCAAGTCTGCAGGCAGTTCAGCTGTTAATAAACTGCTCTTGCTCCCAGGGTCATGCAAGTGCCTCTGTAAGTTTTGCATCCTTTGTGCCTCATTGCCTTATCTTTCTCCTGCCCCTGCTACCTGTTTGGTATTCTGTGAGCTCTTTCAATCTGAGGTCTTTGATCCTTTCTTTAATTCTTGGATATATATCATTATTTTATCAAATACTGCCTTCCCTTCCACTATTTCTTCTTAGTTCTGGTGTTGATACTTCTACCTTTCATGTCTCTGAGCTTTTCTTTAATATTTTTATCGCTTTATCTTTTCCTGCCTTCTGGGACAGCATCTCAGTCTGATTTTCTTGTTCATGATTCTTGTTTAGACCACCTATTTTTTTTTGTTTCAACTGTTGTATTTTTTTATTTCTAACATTTTATATGATTCCTTTTTATGACCTGTGCTTGTTCATATTAACAATGCCTTCTCTGTATCTTTGTGGATATTTGTTATGCTTATTTTAAATCCTTGGTGTATTGGTTCTGACACTTCTGCTTCACACAGTGTATGTTTTAAATTTTTCTTTCTTTTATGGTCAAATTTATGGTAGATCATGTTCCCTTAGGGGAATCAGTAGCCCTGTGCAGGCAAAAGCTGAAGACCAGGGTCTGGTTTGTGTGCCTCTCACTAAATTTAAGGAAAGAAAATGAGGCTCAGGCTGGAGAGCTTCTTATACCACAAACTGTATTTTGACCATTGTTATTTGCTGTCACTCTACCAGGCTGGTCCTCTAGTCAGGAATCCACCCTACCACCCTTAAACTGTTTTTTAAAAACCATCACTGAGAGAAGGCAGTATTCTCATGCTTTTAATTCACCAGCATTGACAGTTGCTGCAGGAATGTTGGAGGAAGACATGCCCAAGGGGGCAACACGGACTCATTTTCCTCAGCTCCTTATCCTGGAGGAACTTCTGTGCTTTTCTGATATTACTGTGTTGACAACAGATGGCTAGGCAGTTGCTACCAGTTTCTGTGGCCCTGGGCAAGCATGATCTTCCCAAGGCAATGTGAGGAAAAGTCAAGGGCAGATTTTAAAACTCTCCCCACAACCTATTCTCTCTTGGCTGCATCTGACCTTCCTACCCTCCAGCCCAAACTGCCACCAACCCTTTATACCAGTTAACTGAAGCCTTTGGGTTTCTCACAGTTTTTCTGAGAGTTCAGATTCCTGCTTCTTTCTCCTGCCATGGTTTCCCCTTTTGTTGGGATACAGAAGAGCTGACCCTTTGTTAACTTTGAAGACTACATAATGTAACCCTAGCATCTTAGAGACTTTATAAACACTGCCCTTAATTTTCACAATTCCAAAAGCAAACTATTATTTTCTTCATTTTAGAGAGGAGGAAATCAAATTTCAATGAAGTTCAGTGATTTTTTTTTCAAAGTCACACAACTAGGAAATGTGGTAAAGCCAGAATTTGAAAACATGTCTATCTTATCCCCAAATCCATGCTTTGGATACTTCATTAACTGCCACCTATTAATGCCTGCATTTACAGCTACTACATTTTGTCTATCCACGAAGTTATGAAACTGTGTTCAAACATACTCATGTTCTGTGAGCTGGACCATAGGTATTCATCAAAAAAATGGTCATCTTTTCCCACTTGGTAGAAAAAAATGAAAGTTATGGATAGAATTTTCTTGGTGTCATGCTATTATATCTTTGCACTGTTTTCTGTGTGCTAGCAAGCCCTAAAAGAAAGGTAATAATTAAGTAGAACATGAGTTTTGAGCAGTTGATTGCAATTAGAAATCAAAAAAATGTTAACAGTTAACTTTTTTTTATACTGCTAACTGGGAAAAGATTGCCATTTTATATCATGTAATGTAAAAGTATCTGAATACTCATCATTCTTGCTAATAAAATTAGTTTATAACAATGTCTGAATATCAAAGTGAATTCATTAATGCTTAATAAATGTAAAGCTTACTAACATATTTTTTCTTATGCATTCTCCTAATTTTAAAGGTCTGATTTTTTTAATTAAATTTTATTTTTTAATAATTAATATATGCATATAGCACAAAATTCAAATGGTACAAAAAGATATACAGTGAAAACTGAACGCACTTCTCCCCATCTCTGTTCTCCAGTCCCGTAGTTCTCTTTCTCTACAATAACCACTGTTACCAGTTTCTTATATGAGCATTTCATAGATATATTAGGTGTACATAAACTCCTATGTACATGTTTTTTAAGGGAGAAATTATTTTCCTTGATAGAATTTTACTTCACTAAACTTTTTGATTGCAGGCAACAATACTGAAAGTTGCTCTGATTCTTTAAACTTCTCTGTGGCCAGGTGTGGTGTCTCACACCTGTAATCTCAGCACTTTGGGAGGCTGAGGTGGGTGGATTACCTAAGTCCAGGAGTTCAAGACCAGCCTGTCCAACATAGTGAAACCCTGTCTCTACTGAAAAAAAAAAAAAAAAAAAAAAAAAAAAAAAACACCCAAAAATTAGCTTGGTGGGGCGGTGTGAGCCTGTAATCCCAGCTACTCAGGAGGCTGAGGCAGGAGAATCGCTTGAACCCGGAAGGCAGAGGTTGCAGTGAGCAGAGATCGCACCACTGCACTCCAGCCTGGGTGACAGAGTGAGACTCTGTCTCAAAAAACAAACAAACCAAAAACCTTCTCTGCTGAAAATAAAACTAAACTGAGTTTTATAAATTATTTAAGATGTTAAACATACGTGGGGCCGAGACGAATAGAATGAACTCCTATATGCTTATCACCCAGATTAAAAGATTATTTAAAAGTGATTTTTTTTTCTTGAAACAGAGTCTTACTCTTTCACCAGGCTAGAGTGCAATGGCATGATCTCGGCTCACAGAAACCTCTGCCTCCAGGGTTCAAGCAATTGTCCTGCCTCAGCCTCCCAAGCAGTTGGGACTACAGGCACATGCCATCACTTCCAGCTAATTTTTGTATTTTTAGTAGAGATGGGGTTTCACTATGTTGGCCAGGATGATCTCCATCTCTTGACCTCGTGATTTGCCCTCCTCATCCTTAAAAGTGATTTTTAAAGGATTTAATACTCTTACAAATTTTCAGAGCCTCTGTTATTGGGTGAAATGAAAAGAATTATGTGTTCAACTACAACTGCAGCAGCCCTAGAGTCTTCTAATGTATTCCCCAAGTGCTGGCTTTGGCATAGAATTTCTAGTCCATGGCGGTAACCACTTAGCCACAGCTATAGATACAACACAGAATTTCTCATACTTTCTAGTAGTAAAAAGTTAACAAATTATAGTCATGATTTCCCTAAAACTTATTGGTATCTGTGTAAAAAGCATAGTGGTGCAGTCAAGGCTCACTGCAGCCTTGAACTTTTGGGCTCAAGCAATACTCCCACCTTAGCCTTCCAAATAGCTGGGATTATGGGCACATGCCGTCATGCTTGGCTAATTTTTTGTAGAGTTGGGGTCTCACCATGTTCCCCAGGCTAGTCTCCAACTCCAGGGTTCAAGCAATCCTCTTGTCTTGGCCTCTGAAGGCATGCTGGGATTATAGCATGAGCCACCATGCCTGGCCATATTATTGTATTAATATTAATTTAATATTAGTTTTAAAAATTACTAATAATTCCACAGATGGAGCTAATTTGGCTATTTTGATTTGGTTCTTTTCATGGAGAAGGAACGGTGAATCCATTATATTTATTATTTAGATGTGTATAAATAATCTTGCATACTTAAAGAATTTAGTTTTGTTACCATATTTTATAAAGCATATTATTAATACTGATTATATTTCCATAAACAATTCTAATTTTTGTCCTGACTTCACAAATTTTTTTTTTTTTTTTAGTTCCGCTCGTCTTTCCTGGTACATCAGAACTTCAAAACAATTTTATAGAATACATCTCTTTTATACATCAATATGATGCCAGGAAAACTCCAAATGAGCCTCTCTGGGGAAAGGTGAGACAATATTTAGAATTAATTATTTAGTATTTTAAGACAGAGTAGATTTGTAGTAGGACTTTACGCATTTTCAAGTCATAATTATCTTTCTAAAAGTCTATTTAAACAACCGACTGTAGTTATTAATAGAATCTTAGTCACATGCCATAGTAAAATATAAGGAATAAAATTATCCTGGTATGGTGGTGCCACCTGTAGTCCCAGCTACTCAGGTGGGTGAGGGAGTGGCATTCCTTGAGCCCAGGAGTTTGAGGCTGCACTGAGCCATAATTGCACTATTGTATTCCAGCCTGGGTGACACAATGAAACCTCATTTCAATCAGTCAATAAAAACATAATAATTTGAACCAGTATTTGGAATTTGGTCTACTTACCGAAATAATTTGTGTAAAATAATATCAAAACATGCTGGATACAGTGACTTGATGCCTGTAGCCCCAGCTACTCTGAAAGCTAAGGTAGGAGGATCACTTGACACCAGGAGATTGAGGCCCGCCTGGGCAACATAACAAGGCCCCTTTTCTGAGAATAATAGTATCAAAACAGTTTGACAAATGTTTTGATAGGCTTAATACATATGTGTGGCAGGAAGATGCATATAAGGTTTATAAAGCCAAACAGGAATGTAATTGTCAATTATTGGATTTTTTTCCAACTATAGATGTTTGCGTTCATATTTCATTATTACTTAGCTTTCCATTAGCATTAATAAACATTTGGGATGCAATCATAAATTCTTAGGTCTATGAACTGCAGTTTTTGTTGGACCCATAGCAATCTTTAGAGCAAGAAATGAAATTTGATATGAGTAGTCTTATATAGTCCAAATGATAAAAAAAAAAGTTGAGAATTGAAGATAATGAGCTGCTGCTTCTTTGACGTTCTGCTTTTTTCCTTCCTGCTCATTTTCTGATGCACCCTATTTTATAATCTAAAAGATTCACCCATATATGGTGGTGTCTAATTTGGAACTAAGGTGACACCAATGAAGAGGCAGAGAAGTGTGTGCCTGCACCAGTCACTGGGACTTGAGCTAACCCACAAACTCAGTTCACAGCTGTATCTTCCAGCAATTTCTGTTCTCCCTGGTTAATGTCAACTTTGTTTTCTTTTTTAGAGACATGGAGCTTTTGTGCAGAGAGAGATAAAACCAGGGAGTAGGCCAACAGTTCCTAAAGGAACAGAGGTATTACTGAATGCTCCAGGGTCACGTTCATCAGAACAGTCCAAAAAAACAGAGAAAGGAAACTCAGCGGAAAGCAGAATGATCTCACCAGGTCTCTGCCAACAAAATTCCCAAGAGCTGTTAAAGACTAAAACTCACTTATCAGAAACAGACTTCAGACAGGCAGCCAAGGCATGCCCCAGCAGTCCTGAGAGCAGAGAAAAGACCACAGGCGTCACTCCAACAACTGAAGGCGATGCTCTTTTCAGCAGGCACAAGCCTTTAAATCCAGCAATTAAAAAATCAGAATAAATTACCTTCTTCTAATAAAAGTATAATCCCTGGAATACAGGGGAATTTCACAATCTTCATCTTGGCCTTTACATTTACTCTTTTTGTTATCAGTAACCTCAGAACATACTATTATGTAAATGGAAAAAGAGAAAAAAAAGACAGTTAGAATACAACCAAATGTTATTAATGAAAGTGGTCTCCATTAAGTGATTGAGACATTGTTTCCATGTCACAGTCTTTATAAACACAACTTTGTTTTGCACAAAAATGAACATAATTAACAAATATAACCAAGACTTTTAGAAGAGAGGCCCTGTGAGACGGTCGTGACAGCTTTGGAATCGAACAAACTGGAGATGGAATGTTTGCTTCACTTCATTCCCTGAGCTGTGTGACCTCGGGTGAGTTACTTAACCTCTCCAAACTTCAGTTTTCTCAACTGTAAAATTAGGAAAATAGCAACTTCATAAGATTATTGAGCATGAGATTATGCATGTCGATCAATAAGTGGTCAATGTAATCATATCATCACTGCTACTATAATTCAATTTTCAATTTAAGGATAATGTTCTCCTACATATTTAAATTTTCCTCCTTATTCTAAAACTTAGAACTCTTCCACATATAATTAAGAGTGTGAAAATCTAAAAATATTTCTGCCAGTACAAGATGCACACACAGACACACACACACACACACACACACACACACACACGCTTAATCCAAAGACATATGGGTACTTAGAATATTGAAGTATTTTCCAAATTGTTTTCTGTTTTACTCAGATCATTTCTAGTACCAACTCAACCTTTGCTTTTTGAATGAGTTTGGTAAGGATTAATTCCACTTTGCTTTTTGGATGAATTTGGTAAGGATTAATTCCACTTTGCTTTTTGGATGTGTTTGATAAAGATTAATTATACTCTGCTTTTTAGATGAGTTTGGTAAGGATTAATTCCACTTTGCTTTTTAGATGAGTTTAGTAAGGATTAATTCCACTTTGCTTTTTGGCTGAGTTTGGTAAGGATTAATTCTACTTCCAATTTGGTGTACCACATTGTATCTACTATAAGATATGTTATATTGCATACAATTGGAAGTAGGTGGAATATTCCTGTGCTATAAAGAGTATTTACAAATTTCCATGGAGAAACATCAGCTGCTCACTATTTGCAGTATTGAGAAGACTACAGCTATATCTTTATCCCTTTATCCTCCACAAAGAAATTTTAATAAACTGCAAGAGAATAAATTTCATTATTATGTATTTTTATGTTGGGGACTTCTAGTTCTTATATATAATATAAAAATATTATATTTTTGTGTTGCCACTTCTAGTTCTATATATCGCCAGTATATATCTTGGAGCTCTTTCCTTGTTGGCTATCTCATTATTTTAATAGCGCCATAGTCTTTCAGAGCAAAGGTATTGGAAAAATCAGAATGCAAGTTTTGGTATGAGGGCAGGAAAGAGAGAGATTGTTAGCATGTTTGGGAAAAGGTCTTAAAGTCTAGGGACTTGAATTTTTATACTCATTGGAAATAGATGGAACATCATGTCCTCCAAAGTAGGAAGATAGAACTGAACCCGCACAAAGATAGAACTCTTGAATGGCTGGCCTGTCAGTAAAAGGCAGACTCCACTCCACTCATATAATTGGAAGATAGAAAGGAAGTTTGCCTCTGCCTGGAGCTATAGATAGTATATAAATTCTGTGAAAAAGTGAAATCCCAAGTTTGTACCACAGTCCAGTTAGGAATATGAATTTACATGTAAGCGTTCTCTTAGGACACAAAATTATATATATTAAAAATCCACTAGTGATACCGCTGAAGTGCCTGACGAAAGCAAATGCAAAACCCCCCTGGAGAGACAGTTTCATGATCAACACAAAAAAGAAATTCCTGCTAAAGACAGTCACAAACAAAAATTACAAATCATACAAAGAAGAAAATGAAACTGAGCAAGAGCCTGCAGTACAAAAGAATGACTATAATTTCAAAACTGGAGATAAAAGAATTAAAACACATAATTTTAAATCTGGAGATAAAAGAATTAAAACACTTTCAATTTGAATATCCTTGTTGTTTTTCTACCCTAGAAAATTTTATTATGTTGCCTTTTCTGTTATTTCCATCTCCTCCGTTCTTTCTCTTCCCTCCTTCTGGGACAGCTATTAGCTAAATGTTAGAACATTTGGATCTATTGTCTATGTCTCTCATTCTCTTTCTCTCTCTCTCTCTCTCTGTCTCCCTCTCTCTCTCTCTCTCTCTCTCTCTCTCTCTCTCTCTCTTTCTGTGTGTGTGTGTGTGTGTGTGTGTGTGTGTGTGTGTGTGTGGTTTTTTGGTTTTGTTTTGAGAGTCTCTCCAGAGCCAGGCTAGAATGCAGTGGCTTGATCTCAGTTCACTGCAATCTCCACCTCCCGAGTTCAAGCAATTCTCCAGCCTCAGCCTCCCAAGTGCTGGGATTACAGGTGTGCACCACCACACCTGGCTAATTTTTGTATTTTTAGTACAAGTGGGGTTTTGCCATGTTGGCCAGGCTGTTCTCAAACTCCTGAGCTCAATCAATCCTCCCACCTCAGCCTCCCACAGAACTGGGATTACAGGCATGAGCCACTGTGCCCGGTTCTCATTATCCTTCTCATGGTACTTTATCACTAAGTAATGGAAGAATTCCCTTGACACTTTCTCGTAACTAATTTGCTTTTCGGCCTTGTCCATTTGTACTTCAGACCATTTATTGAAACTTAACATTTGACTATCTGGTAAACTTAGTATTATATAATGTCCAACCTATAAATGTTTCCTCAATATGTAAGACTCTTCCTCTATTATGGATGTGATCATCTCTCTTAGGATATTGTAACTATGCTTAAAATGTTTTGTTTGCTTTCTTAATTTTATTAACTTTTGTTTGTTGAGTGTGAACCCCATACTCTGTACTTTTTTCTCAAATGCTTCGTGTTTCTTAATTATCTACTCTTCTTTGATTATAAGATTTCCAGGTTATTATCAGTATAAAATGTTTCAATTGATTACAGCCTGACTTTGGAACAAGTTTGGGCTATGTAGACAGGATCTGAAGATTATTTGCCTGATGAGCTCTTTGGTCTTCCTGGGGGTCAGTAGCTCCTTGGGCATTTCCTAGCTGCTCCAGCCCCAGAGTATGATTTGATTCATGCCACAGTTACCCCCTAGCTTAACACAGCAAGAGAACAGGAAGAAGATGACTGGTTTGCTACTACGCATGCAGTTCCCTAATTTTTCAGGTTGACAAATGGCCCAGGGCCTCTTTTACCTCTTCATATTCATTGGCTCTAGGCTTGTAGTTCTCTGAGACCTACCATCAGGTCATCTATACCCACGTTAGGCTTTGATTTCCTTTAGTTTTGTTCTTCTAAACATTAGTTCTTTGGCACTATCTTTCGACATTTATTTTAAAAATATATTTCTTCTGATCATAAATTTCCCTGTTTTCTAATTCGATTAAAATTGATTTCATCACCTATATTCATCTACATTCATTTTATGGACTTTAGTGGGCAACAGGGAGGAACCGTACATGATCAGTCCACCATCTTGAGTCAATCTCTAATTTTTTTTTCTAAATCATTTGCCATCTTAGTACTTTAACCATTAGTAAATAACATTCTCTGCAAAGACCTCACAGTTAACTGACAAATGTCACTGAGGATTAACACAGTCCTTGTACCCTACACAATATGTTTTAGTTAGAGGAGGAGGGTCTGGGGTCATGACGTCCAGTTAGTGATCCCTGCCACAGGTCAGGTTGGTTCTCAATCTTTTCTGCATGAAGGCATCTTTTCTGCGTTAAAAAGAAAGTTTATCGTTCCTCACAATGACTAAAAGTCATTGAACTTTCAGTATCCATTGTGTGGGAAATGTATAATAAAATGCAATGATGATTTCCAGGTTTAATTCTATTTTTTTAAGTGCAAAGGGTGTGTCTCTTCAAAATGAATTCCACAGTCTATTAAAGTCATAACTGCCTGTCAGTACAAATAGTGCTCTTAAATTTCACAAGAATATTTGAATGTTTCCAAGCAGTTCCCTCATTATTCCCAAAGAATGATAGCCTTTACCAGGATACAAGATCTTTTTTCAAATTACAAAAAAAAAAGAAAAAAGAAAACCAAACAAAAACAAAAACCATAATTTAACATTGTAAAAATACTTCAATGAAGGTGCTAGTCATTTTTAAACCTTAACATTGTTACTAATAGCATAAATTTATATATGTTAAGTACTGAAGCATTTTTAAATTTATTATCTTAGGTGACTCATAATAATCCTATGAATAGAGCAAATAATAACATTTGCATTTTACAGCTACTTACAGAGAATGTAAATGATTTCCTCAAGTCTGCAGTTAACAGACAACTAGGACCAGATCCAAAGTTTCTCAATAACCAATCCATTAATTCCTAGATGTTAACCAACAAGGCAATGCTGGCCCAAAATAAATGAAAAAGCGAGGATAGCATAAAGAAGTATCAAAACAAATATCAATTCTTTTACTGAGACACTGCAACTTTACTGCTTTTTGGGATTGAAAATACTCTTTGTTAGACTCCTTACCGCTGTAATGGACTAAGCTGATATTGGAAGCACCCATCATTCCAAACACAGATAAATGTTAGATAAAATATAGCAGAAACATTTGAAATACACAGCTAAGCACTAAAACAAAAAAATTAAAATACTCAGGTGCCAGAAATGGAGAGAACACAAAAAAGCAATGATCAAGAGGTGAGACTAAAGAAACAACTACAGAATTACAATCAGACGGTGAACTTAGTGGCTGCAATTTTAATGCCTAAGCTGGAATGGGAGTGGAAGCCCCAGGGCCAGTGGAGTTGGAACAGAGCAAAGCGCTAGGATCCTAGAAGAGCTTTGCTGCTGTGAAAATAATTCTGGGCTATCTCCTCCCACTAGCCTGGGTATTAAGGGAGGTAGAAGATTCATTACTACCTAGATGACACACCTACCAAACCAAGCTATGCACAGGAGTGGAGTCCAATGTGCATTCATGAGGAGGAATCCAAGCCAAGAAAGCAACAGAAATACTGGTTTGAACCAGGGAAACTTGAAGAACCCTGTTAAAAACAAGTAAGAACTGCCCCATAATGACACTTAACAAGCCTGCACACATGACACA